ATAAGATCCATTGGACGCATCCGTCGATACCTTCCCAATGATGCGTTGAAGATGCTAGTCAACTCCCTTGTAATTTCTAGACTAGACTATTGTAATAGCATTCTATATGGGATACCAAAGTATCAAAGGGACAAACTACAGAGGATCCAGAATATCGCTGCTCGTATGATAACCGGAACACGAAACACTGACCATATCACACCTATTTTAAAGAATCTACATTGGCTGCCAATCGAAGCAAGAGTTAATTTTAAGATATTACTTATAACTTATAAGATCTTAAATGAGCAATCTACTAGTTATTTAGAACCTCTTATACAAGAATACCACCCATCAAGAACACTGAGATCATCAACTCGCTTACAGTTATGCATCCCACCTATTAAATCCAATTCCTATGGTGGACGCGCTTTTTCAGTATCTGCACCGAAACTATGGAACTCAATTCCCGATTATATTAAAAGAGCGGAAACAGTAGAAACATTCAAAACTAAGCTTATGAAATTTTTGTTTAAAAAACATTACTGTTAATTAATTACTTATTCTTATGTCTTAATAATCTTTTGTTAGGCGCATTGAGATTAGAAATGCACCCTATAAGCATCTACTTTATTATTATTATTATAAAGCACCTGCAAAATTTTACTACAAGTAGCACTACAAGAACAATAACCAAAGGAAAAAGAATAAGGCGTTTGCGATCTACAAAGCTGAAGCCAAACTGTGATCTTGGCAGCCGTGAACATGCTCTCAACTGCCTGGAATAAAGTGCCTGAAACGACCACAAAGAATAATTTGAGATGCACAGGTATTTCACAACAGTTGTGGGAATCTGCTGCAAATGACTGTGATGACCCATTCAGAGGTCTGGATGAAGAGCTTGACGTCCCCATTCGTAATTGAATGTGACAACGACGTCCTCACTTTTGACTTTGAGGGGCTGTCAGACCAAGAAATTCTTACAGAATTTCCTTCTTTGGGTGATTGTGGGGCAGAAGATGATGATGACTTGACTATCGAGGAACCGCCCCCACCCAAATGACCTTCCAAATACGAGGTGTCAACACCAACTGATGTGTTTCAAACATACAGTCTGTTTTTAAACAATCAGTTTGTTGACTTTAAGTCCAGCACTGAGAAGTTGTTCAACATTATTGACAGAAACAGAACGGCTCCTAAACACCAGGGACTTATGATTGACTATTTCTCTTATTGTAAAAGCATAAAACCTCTTTGATCAAGTGTTTCTAGTCTTTCTTTCTGAAACCCCTCTAACCCAAAATACTGATAACTCAAAGTAAATTCAATTTCCCTGAGCAATTCAAGTTACGGGGGTTCAACTACATTGCAGTCTCTATGTGAAGATGCTCTAACGCGCTTTAAAACACTTTTTTGGGGGGGAGGGGAGACTTTAGCGAGACCACACTAAGAAATTTAAAATTTCTTGAAAGTACATGTGGATGTGCCCCTAATTCAAGAATCTTTGGAAACCAAGCAAGACCATTATTCTTTGTGAGGTGTGTGTAGGGTCTATGACATTGCCTACTAATCAGTACAGAGAAGATGCAAGAGACAGGGCCTATGGTTTATCTTCCTCATCTAAGTAGACTACAATGTCTTACCATTTGTAGATGTCATAGCAAAAGCAGCACATGGTCCCAACCCTCAACCTCCCACTAAGCAGTCTGGTGCACTACATCATGAGGTAACCAAGCAGCAATCATAAGTATCAGTCATCTTGACATCTGATGTTCCATTCAAAAATACAGCAACGAGAATACAATAGAGAATAGTATCTGTTGTAAGTTCCAGGTTTGCTAGTGTTTTGTTCATCAACAATGACATCAAAAGTGTCATACAAACCATTATAAAAACATGACAGTGCTTTTTCTCTCCCAAGATTAAAAGGGGTTCTGTTGCATGATTTCTGAAATGCCTTAAAGAAACATGTCCACAAGGCATTTTGCCTGGTGTGGATCGTGGGAATTGTATGTTGGGTACTTTGATTGCTTTGTGCATTGGTACAGAGGAGACCACCCACACCAGTACTCCTTGTGAGATTCCCTTGTCTATAGAAGTAGTGAGTTGATTGCCATTCTCAGTCTTCATGGTGGAGCAAACAGAAAGCCTCTAGTTATTTAAATCCACTTTGGAGTTCTCAATCTCTTAATGATCTATGATAGTGAAGGTGTTTCATTTGCCTAAAGACCTATCAGCTAGGGTACCTCTAAAACATTGACACCCCAATTGAGAGTAAATTAATCTATAATGTAGATGTGATCAATCTTCACTTCTTAACCACCTCCCAGTTAGCTCAATTGGTTACAGCGCTGGACTGTTGTGTGGGAGGTCGAGGGTTCGTGCCCCGGCTGGACCAACACTCAAAGTCTTAAAATAACTGAAGAGAATGTGCTGCCTTTCTATCATATTAAGAAATGGATACACATTCTAGTCTTCTTGGATAAGGACAAATAAACTGTAGGTCCCCTCTCCTGCTTCTATTAATTATTAGTTATTTTGGTTAGGCAGGAGATGTTAAAGAACCCACCCATGAGATAACTGTGATGTGGTCTGTCCTCTTAACTGGGAATTGGGGGAGTGTGGTCTTGTCATTGTTAATGCGGGATCCACTGTAATTGGCTAAAGCTGTTACAGTAGTGGTCTCCCTGCCTGAGATAATTAGGCAAAGCTACAGCATAAATTAACAAAAGTATCTACTTCCCCCACGACAGGTCAGGCACATACTATTTAAAGTGTACCTTGACAAAGCAACTGGAGTGGATGGTGCATCTGCAAGGGTACTAAGGAGGTGTACTGCAAGACCCAATAGCTCTACCTTTTAACTTTTTGTTAACATGAGGGAAAGTATCTTCCTAAAGAAAAAGTTGAATATCACTCCTGTATTTAAAGAAGACTTTACGACACCCGGTGAGAACAACCACTTTTTGTCTGAATAACAGCTGCACATAGTTAGAACTTCCACTTTTTGTCTAAATAATAGTTGCCCCATGGTCTGGCCATGGTCACCACACACAGAAAGAAGTATCAACAAGTTAGAGAGAACTCAGACAAGAGCCACCAGGCTTTTTCTGGAAAGCAACAATGATTAAAATTTTGACACCCACAAAGTCTAACTGGACTTGTTATATATGAGAGAAATTTCCTGCTTGTTGCGTTTCTTTCATGAAGACCTTAATGGGTGTATTAACAAAGCTTTATCTAAACTAATCCTATTTTTTTAAAAGATTTAGGAGGTGCTCCCTTGGATTGCTATATTAAGTGCAGCTACTACAACAGTATCATGCACAAGCAGAATATTCAACCATTGTCAGTGAAGAGTGCAACAAGTATTTCTGGTTTTATGAAGGGGGTAAGTGTCTTTTAACATTCAACCAATGGATAATTTTTTTAGCATAAATAATAAAGTGTTGTCCTTTTTAATGGATTTCTTTTCTGTTGGTAAGAATATTGATGGTTTGCCTGATATGGAGTCTATGAATCTTTTGCTGACCATCCATCTAACAAGGTAGGATAACTATTATAACAATTTAAAGTCATTCACATTTCACTTGGTGGATAAGCTACAACTGGGAAGGGAACCATACACATATCGTTCATTCTTTTGTTGTAGCCTAAGCTCAAGATAACTTTTTCGTTACACAGGCTTCAATTGCAAAGATACAGAAGATTAACTCCCTAGGTCAGGATGAAAGGATCAAACTAAAAAACCCTATTTAGGCATCTCAGTTTGTATCTCTGAATGTCCATGTATCTGATAACAATTTACCGCTTGTCCAGCAGTTTTGATCTCATGCAAATACCATTTTCTATAAAATTTTCAAAATCAAAGTCTTAGAATAAGGTTCTTACAAAAAGGCCTGGAAAGATCAGAAGGAGAAATTATATCTAAACACAGCCCAACAATTTATCCTGCTCAGCTATGAAGTTGAATTAATTCTCCAGTTGTCAAACATATCAGGGTGTCAGGCTTCAGCAGCTCAAGTTATATTCTTTAAGCTCTATGTAACTACTTTCCTTGCAAATCAATTAAGAAGCTCTGCAAGTACCTGGTATTTTTGCTACACCAAATTTTACTATATTACACCAGAGATGTAAAAGAAGGACTTCAAAGAAAACTATAAGTGGTTACCTATGAGCTACACCTTACCTAATGAAAATGAAGACATATGTCCAAGTTCTTTCGGCCAATGGTAAGGCAAGCAGCAGTAGGCTAGATCAAGTAGTGGATCACCCAGAGTTGACAACTCCCAGTCTAACACAGCACTCACACATAACTGAAAAGATGGTTGATACAGAGTACATTTGGTATCAACAGCTTAGTCAGAACCTCTATTGTTTTTCAGAATTCAAAATGTTTCATAGGATGCACTGAGAAATTCAGCTGAACTGTTGCCTATTTCTCATAGTTGACATCTAACTGCTTTCATAAAGTCAATAAAGGTGACAAAATTACCACTCCAACTTATCCTATTGACAAACAAAGACTAGTATTATAATTAATGTTGTGTAGTGTAATTCTGGTTAATCTGTTCCTTCTTGCAGCCAAACATGTTTGACTCACATTGAGAAGTTAATAACCTAGATCATGCTAATGTGTGTGTGATACAGGTGGCAATATGACGAGATAGTCCTAATGTATAGTGACAGAGGTTCTTAGACATGTCAAGGAGATTGGATGGTGGGATCAAACATTCCAGGCAAGTTAGTATAACCATATAATTCCCACTTCAGAGACAAATAGGGTGAGGTTCTAGCCCCAGTTGTACTTTAACAAATCAACGAAGAAAGGATTTTGGGTGCACAGCCAATTAATTCTCAATGCCCACTGTATCATCAAAGCTTCACTTCCTCACTCACTCTGCTAAGGAATAACCTTCCAGTAGTACAGAAACTCTTGCATAGTTGCTAATTAATGTATTACAGGTAATCGCACTTCCCTTACATGTACATAAAACACCACAATTATCAAAACTTACTCAAGGTGTGTCAATTAATATAAAAGGATGCAAATTTTACTTCTTAACTTAACCTGTTGTTAACATGCAATGAAAGTACAAACCTTGCCAGGATCAAAAATCAAATTGTCCAGTCTAAAATCCCCGTGAACTAGAACTAAATGAAAAATTAAACCAAAGAATATAAGTTATAATTTTAACATGCCACTTCTGATGGCAATTCAACGATTACTTTTTTCAACTAAAATTAATTAATCAAAAAGGCTGGGATGCGACCTATACATGCGTGTGGCCTACCCTGCCAGTAAACCAAATAACATGAAATGGTCAAACAAGTCAAAACAATTCAAAACAATTCAACCAGTGAAAATCAGTCCAAATGATGCAACCAGTTTCAATTTCTAACTATCAGAAGATAAAATGGCCCAATCAGTTAAAATATTGTAAGTCAGCAAAATGCATCAAGTGATAAAAATGATCTCACTAGCCAAGTGGTCCAGCAGGTTAAAAGAGTATAACTAAATAAAATGCTCCAACAGGTCTAAATGATCTAACTAGACAAAATGGCCAAACCCATTACAATGGCTTAAACAATTAATTTAAAAGGGTTTTATAAATCAAATGTTCCAAACAGTAAACATGTTTCAACATGCTACAATGATCTAACTAGTTAAAAAGGTCCAACTGATCAAAATGACCATGCACGTTAAAATGGTCTAGCTATATAAATTACTCCAACAGGGCGAATTTGTGAAACTGGATTTAATGGTCCAACTGATTGAAATGAGCTAACCTGTCAAAATTATGTAGCAACACAAAATGGTCCTACTACTCAAATGACTCAACCAGTGAAAAATAGTCCAACTAGTTAAAATGATGCAACCAGTTAAAATAGTCTATCTAAATAAAATGGACTATCTAGGTAACATGGTCTATCTGATTCAAATGGTTTTACTGCATAAGTTAGTCCAACAGGTCTATATGGTCTAATGAAATAAACTGGTCCAACTGATTAAAATGAGCTAACCAATAAAGATATGGTAAATAGATAAAATGGTCCAACTTGTCAAAATGACTCAACCAGTCAATATGTTCTAACAGGCTACAATGATCTAATTACATATAAAATGGTCCAACTAGTCAAAAAGACTAAACCAGTGAAAAACGGTCGCACTTGACAAAATGATCTGTTTGATTGAAATGGTCTAACTACATAATTTGGTCTAATATATGAAACAAAATCAAATATTCCAACTGATAGAAATGAGCTAACCAGTTAAAATGGTATAACTAGATAAATGGTCCAAATAGTCAAAAGGACTCTACTGATTAAAACCATCCAACTAAATGATGAGGTTTAACCACTCAAATTGATCTAATTAACTGGGAAAAATGGTCCTACTAATTAGTATGGCAAAACCCATTATATATACATAATACAATATAATTAAATTATCAGTAGTCCAACAGGTCTAAATGATCAAACTAAAATTAATTAGACCATGCCCAAAATAAAAATCTTTCTTCTTGTTTTTTGCTTAGTTCAGATAATTAACGTACTATTAAATCAAACTGATTTGACCAGACTTGTTTAAGTTGTGCTGTTCTTGCCCATTATAAAACTGAAAATTTTATCTTTCTTTTATTTGTTTATCTACATCTGTGTAAAGGAATTATTAATTAAGGAAATAATTGGTTGAAAGAAGATAAAACAAATAGATCTACAGCTGAGTAATAAACCTTCCAAAGCCGTGATGAGTTGTTGGGTACTGTGTGATGAGATGTCCACATTGAGTACTATGGTACTAGCGTACTAGCACACTAAACAAATGAAGAACAAGCCATAACGAGATGTCCCTACCAAGTACTACAGTACTAACCTACTAAACAGATGAGCAAGAAGCCATGATGAGATGTCCGTACAGAGCACTAAGGTACTAATGTACTAAGCAGACGAGTAACAAGCTGTGATGACCTGTCCACACCAAGTAGTAAGGTACTAATTATAAGGTACTATACAAATGAATAACGAGCCACTATGAGATGCCTGTACCGAGTATTAGTACTAACCTACTAATGTACTAAACAGATGAGCAACAAGCCACAATGAGATGTCCGTACTGAGTACTAAGGTGCTAATGTACTAAACAAATAAATAACAAGCCGTGATGTGATGTCCACACCAAGTACCACAGTACTAACGTACTAGCGTACTAAACAGGTGAGCAACAAGCCACCATAAGATGTCCATACTGACTACTTAAAGGTACTCAGGGATGTAGTTACAGTTTTTAACAGGCAGGAATCTAGCAATGATAGGTGGGTATTTGGGTTGAAGGCCCACTCTAGCATACCTTTGGCATGCTCAACCTGGGGGAGTCTGGGGGCATGCTCCCCTGCGAAATTTTGAAAAGGCATACTCTCGGAGATGCTTTTTCCTTGATTTTGGGGGCAAAATCTAGGGCATTCAGGACAGACTTTTATCAGGTAACAGATACTGTAAAAACCCAGCGATACTGCACAACAAAACGTCTAATAAGATATATCTATATATTGAATCATTTAATTCCAAAACTTTGCAAGTGCAATTTTAACGGTACTCTGTTTCTTAATGATGCAAACTGCCCTAAGCAAAGTTCCTCTGTACTCTCAGGGAGAGATGAAACAGAAAATGTTCGAGGCTGACACCACACTATATTACCTCTCGTGGGATAAGAACGATTAGTGTATTTAACATCTCAACTTTGTTAGGTTCTCTTAGGTAACATACTCAAGCTAGTCATCTGATAAAGTGAACACTTGGTTGAAATGGCTATTTTTAAGCTGACCTCTAAAAGCCGAATCATTACACCACTTTAGAGTCTTCCAGAAAAGACCTTTGAGGTTCTGAATGGAAAAAAATACCAGGAAACAAGACATTTTTATGAAATATTAATTTGAGAGGAGGATAGTGCCAGGAATTTTAACGTGGTCCAACTTAAGGCTGATCCTTTTTCCCAAAAAGATATGTTTTCAAACAGAGATACTGGTTGACAGGCAATAACTATTCCAAAACAGTAGGAGGGGACATACATTTCTTTAGTAAAATGAATATACATAGGGATGCAGTGTCACTAAGAAGATGGTGGGATCTCATTCTTATTCTGTGATAAAATTAAATGAGAAGTTGCAAAACGATAATTTCGCTGAACTGTCCAGGACACGAGATTTTTCAATTCTGAGGAATTATAGTTTCACTGTCTCATACCTAATATATAGCTGCCTCAACATTCTCTCCAGTCAGTTCCCTGGGTTCCATGATCAATATGGTTTATGGTGCCTCAGACTCCAACCTTCTCTAATACAGAATTTTTTGGACCGGTGTTTGAAAAGGAAGTTTATGTCCAAGAATGTAGGTATCGGGGATTTGCTAGAGAAGGCGGACAAGGCACTCTACAAGAAAAGATCAAATGACTCCAAATGCCCGTATTTCCAATTTTTACCTAAGGAAAAGAACATGAGGTACAATCTTAGAAATACGTCAGTCTCTGTCCCTAGAATCCACACTGAAAGGTTTAAGAACGTTTTTAGTAATAGGATAATTTTTAAATATGACATGTAATAGTTTCCCTTGTGAGTTTATGTTGTAACTTAGGATATGTGATTTTATCTTAAGAAATAAAGATTATGTTATGTTAGGTTATGTTATAATAAGGAGAAAACTTCATCAAGATGCTTGTTCCAAGACAACTTTTTCTGTGGCATTCCTTGAGTAAACTATACTGGGACTGTAATTACTACACCAAAGAGAACACGTTTTATGTGATAAATTTTGGCTTCAAAAGGTATAACAGATTACAGCATTTTTCTCAGCGTTCGTTAAACATTGCGCTTTTCCTTGGGAGGAGAAACCATATTATGCATAATTATCGTAGTGGTATGTCTTCTTTTTCTTACACTTGAGTGAGCAACTGATAGGAATGAGTTGAATCCTGGTCCAGTCACTAGTACCTGTTGTTTCATGAATTGTCCCGTTCGTGGATGTTCCTCTCTAACTCTTTAGGTGGCTAACATTGTGAATGCACTATTCTTGTGTTCATGTTTTTCATTATACATTCCTACGAGCCGAGAAATTTTGATGTTTTGGTTCTTTTGACAATCATGTGATAGCATTTGGCAGTAAAGCAGAAAGGACGTAAAGTCTTCCAACACAAACCATGCCAACTTTCAGATTTCTTTTAAAAATAAAAAAAATTCTAAACAATAGACAATGAAAGATCAAACAGCTTCTACTGACGTTGCAACAGAGAGCAGCGCTTCATTGGAAGCTATCATTTCGGATGATAAAATTCCTAGTCGAAATGGGCACTGCAAATGCAAATGTTGAGGACAAAAAAAAAAACAAACACAGAAACTAGTTCAATATTGGTTAAACTGGTTAAAATGGTCAAACAAGCTGAATTGGTTGAACAGCTTACATTGGTCAAACTAGTTGAGATGGCTCAAACTGACAAAATGCATAAACTAGCTTAGTCTAACTAGCTAAATAATTATTGGTCAAATGAACTGAGATGGTTTGTGTTTAATAATCCCAGATTATACAAGGGACCTTAGGTCCTGAAGTATAAGACAGATTATATGAGAAACAAGTCATGAGACGGAATGTAACAATGCAATGCAGGCCTGACTAGCTGAAATAAATCAAACCGACGAAACCTACAAACTAGCTGAATTGGCTAAGTAGTTAAAATGGTCAAACTAGCTAAAATCGTCTATTTATTTATTTATTTATTTATTTATTTAATCGCTTTCACCATACTTTCAATACTAAAAGGACTAAAATATACATGTGAACAAGACACAGAAGAGAACGGAGGACAAGGGTGCGGGACACACAACAGAGTGGGGCTCCAAATTAAGTGTGCCCTTACGAGAAATACAAAAATACTAACTATGTAAAAAATAGACAGTGTAAAAAGTATATAAAAAAGTATATAACATAATAAAAGAAAAAACGAAAACGATAGGAATAAATCTCTCATG